TAAAATAATCCAGGCCAAGTGACCACAGACTGAAATCTCTGATACAGTAGGACAAAATAAATCCTGCTTTCAATTGTTTTCTCAGGTATTTTGTCATCATGATGAAAAGCTAACTAAAACATCAAGGCTTAAAAGGTAAACACACACAGCAGAGCTCTGATTGAGCCCTGGCAGCTGTGATGGTCACAATTGATGGCTTAGGTAGAAAGAAGGGCATCCCAGGTAGAGGGCATTGCAGCCTTGGAAGTGCAGACAGCCTCTTCTCATCCATGGTCAAGAGGTCTAGAGGCTCTCAGCTCCATCCCTAAGCACATCTGTGTTGAGGAAGCCCACACACAAGTCAGATCTTTAGGGAGCCGAGCCATAGAGCAGGTTCCTTGGCCTCCATACTGCTGGGATCTACCAGTCATCTGGCAGATTCTGAGTCCTCGTCTGTCTGTTTGCCAGGCTGCACCAAACACATAGCTTTATATTTCTGCTTTGTTGTAGGACTTTCTGTATTCAAAAAATAACCTCAGCTTTGCTCTCTACTGCACTCTGAGCAGTACAGCCCCATCCCTAAGGCCAATGTATAATCTCAGGAGCCCTTGTAAGTGCAGCAGAGAGCCCATGGCTGGGCTCTGCTGATTATTAGTTGGAAGAAGAGATGAAGGAGCCTATTATCAGCCCATGATGTACAGAGTAGGGCCACCTGAGTAACCATAAGCATGTATGGCAGGGCTGGACCCAGGGCCCAAGGGAGTGAGGCCATCTTGGTGTGCACTGACTCCAGCAGAGGCCAGACCATAAGGATAAAGGAGCAGGTTAGATGGAAGGGAGAAGAGGTAGCAAGAGATACAGGAAGAGAAACTAGCCTCAAACCAGAGCATAAAAGCTACCTTTGCTCAAGAGGCAGAGATAGGTGTAAGACAGAAATATCTAATTGTATACAGGCTGCAAAGTTAGGCAGTTCTCAGCAGTACCTACAGTCAGAGTCAACAGTATGAACGACTATAAAAAGCATGTCAAACTCTCGATATTATATGCTGTCTTCAATTGCCTTTTGCCTCTTGAAAATTGAGATTTTCCTGAATAATCCAGGATGGTGGTAGGGTTTTACACACAAACTACAGCGAAGAAGCTTCCAGATAGTTGAACAAGCAGCTGATATATCTAAGAAGTATCTCACACAGAGGTAAAGCAGTCAGGGACAGATTTCAGGCCCCTGGATTCCTGAATTCCAATCCAATGGAAGAACTGAACACCCAGGCAACAGCCAACTTGCATTGAGCACCTATGATGGACATGTCAGGCACTCGGCTGAGTGCTACTTATACATGTAAGGATCACATATGTCTCACTTCTGGAAGGTACCTGTGCAATAGTAAGGTCAAAAAGCCTCCCTAATTCTAATACAGAATCAATGATGATTAATCACAGAGGTTTAAAGAACTAAGGGAGTATAAAGGGAAAGACTAATTATGAATAGATCGAGTCCCCAGAAATCTCTTTCCTGGGTTTTCTCTGTGGTTTGATCCCCCATGTGCTACCCAGCTGCAATGGACACATCTTTCATGTGAAATTGTACAGTCATTCAGTTGAACATATGGTGTAATTCCATTGTGGATCCTAGGAGAGCACTGTGTGTTCATTTGATTTAAATAACCCCAGTGAGTGACGAAGGCTCAGAGAAATGAACTGTCCAATAACACTTAAGATGGGGAAAGGAAGCAGCTCAACTGGATGCATTGGAATAAAAGATTGGTCTTCTAATTGGAAAATATTGAGAGAATATTTCCATTTTTCATCTACTAGATAAAAGAGTACAGAATCTTCTTTAAGCAGAAACTTCCAAATGGCATGTCATCTGACAATTCAATCAAGATTATAAAGATTATATCTAAGGATTACATAATGTACACATATTTGTGCTTTTAACAAATCTGTGTTAATGTTTTAATGCTGATTTTGCAAAGAATTTTGCTGCACCAGTTTCTAGTCAGATTAGGAAATCACTTCCCCCATTATGAACAGACGATGCTTTAAGTACAGTGGTGGAGAGCAATGTCTTAGGTTGGACATTGGCTCTTTGTCAAATACTTACTTAGGACCAGGGTTACAGCTAACCACTTGATGAACAACATAAAGCATTACCAAGGTTTTAATTTGTGTGCAGTAAATCATGAAGTTAACATTTATAGTAAACATGTAGAAAAAAATTGAGCTTTTTTAAAATTGTGGTGCTCACAGCTTTGTACTACTTATGTTTAAGTGTAATGTTTATGATTATATTTTAATCATAAGTCAACATGTCTCTGCCTTAACTTGCTGATCAGAAGTGTTAACCACAATAAAAAGCTGAGTATCACAGTGAAGGAGTGGTTCTTATGTTTAAGAGTAAGAGGGTGGAATAAGAAATCTTCTTTGCCTTCAAATCAAAGCCCTAAGATCCTCTTAAGATGTGTTTCATTCATTCAGGAATACTTGAGTAAAAGTGGAAACTCAAGCCTTTGGGTTTCTAAGAAACTGTTGCCCATAGAAAAGAGGCCTGCACATACTGGTGTTTATTGAAAAACATGTACTGAGGGCTGAGAATGTGTATAGAATTTAGAGCACTTTCCTAGGAAGGCCATAGCCCTCTGAGTTCAATCCCCAGCACACAAACAATATCAAAACATCTCTATATGTATGTATCTGTGTACATATATGTACATATACATATGTACATACTGAATCTGCTTATACAGGCAGACAATATGTATGTGTGTACATGTGTTTATGTGTGCATGTCTCAGCCATTTCACTGCCTCCGCTGAGACCTTAACTAATTAATCTGTTTTGCCCATTATATCAGATTAGCCAATTAATAACTTTTTAGATTTTGTAGGAGACTAAACTGGAATCAGATAGAAATTAGAATAAAAATGAATGCTGGAATTGCTATTGACAACATGTAATGTTGATGAAGTTGTTCATTCCTGTTATTTCTTATGGGTTGGTCCTGCACATTTATTGATTGCCAGTGAAATTAGGGTTGACCATTATGAAGTACATTTGCGAGTCAGGAGGCAGCCCACCCTCATCACAAGGATGCTTAAAGGATGGACTGAGCTTATCAGTCAAGGAAGGGGGCAGACGATAACCTCAGACTAGAATGTACACAAACATCCCTAAGATTCATTCAACTATGAATTCCATAATTCTTCATTTGGAAAAACTACCCACTAAATTATAAAGAGTCCACATTGCCACCCAATATTCTTCTGACCAAGAAAATCTGATTAGAATTTGTGACAAACTTAGTATTCTAACAACTTCAAAACTCAACCTGATAAAAACTACTTCAAGAAGGAGTGGTCTAGAATGTCCTTCTAGTTTAAAATAATACTATTAAGCCTCTTTTCCTAGCAGAATGTTTGTTCATCCTCGTACCCCACCCCTGCCAGAGATTGTCTCAGAAACAAAGTTTGGCTAGTACAAGATGGAATTTATAAAATTTGACATAAAAATGTTTTTAATATATGCCCAGTTATATCATCTAAGGAACTAAAGAATTTTGTTTCTATTTTAAGATAAGAAAATGACAAAAACCCAACTTAAATTGAATAACCTTTCCTAGCTTTGCATTAAAATACTGATAGATCCTATTTTAACATGTTACGAATCTTTTTAGATAACAAAGAAAACAGTTGTGTTCAGTAACCTTTTAGCATTGGGCCTATTTTATATTTAATTCCAAAAATATTTTAAATAAATAAATGCACTCCACCCAGATTCTCCACCAGGCCTTGGAGCTCTGATCTTCCCTTCTCCACAGGCCTGTGTTTTACTTATTCTCCTCCACTCACCACAGGCCTTGGAGAACCTCCTAGAGGCTCAGTTCCTTCATCTAGAAAATTGAAATAAGTTTACGGCAAAGATGCTGTTAGAATGCAATGAGAAGATACCCATGTCAATCACAGTGACAGCGTGGAGTTAATTCTATTCTACCTTTTTCTCCAAACTGTCTACGTTCACCGATCCTTAGGGTCTGCTTCATAGAATCCTAGCAGTCAGCAAAGAACCCTATCCTCCCTCAAAGGAACCATCCCCACAGAATTAGAGTCTAGTTCTCAAGTTCTGCATCACTAAGGAGATGCAAATTATACAGCTCCGCCCAGATTTTCTGACCCAGACTCCAGGATAGAGTCCAGCACTCTGTATTTTACTTGCCTTCCATGTAATTCCCAAAATTGAGGAACATTCTCTCTTCTCATTTTCTCCCCAATGATGCCTGAATTCTTCCATTTCCTTTGTCCCTACCATTAATTCACCTCCTCCAGCATCCTTTGTGTTATCCATAGGCAAGGAATAACATTGTCTCAGATACCAGAGTAACTAACAACCCCCCCCCCCCCCCCGATGGTTCTCCATCAACGAGGGTATCTTGTGTGTTTTGTAGGACTGGAAGAAGGTCTGCCTGCTTTGTAGCTGTGTGTCCCATTACAACCAGCCCCTCCTATTGTCCTTAGATCAGGCTGTGCAATACAGGAAAGACCTTGAGTGACAAATGGTGTTACAGAAACCCTAACTGCGTCCTTAGAATAAATTCCCAGAAGTCAACTTCTTGCTGGGCCAAAGTACGTATATTTTTGAGGTAGGCTCTTTTAGATCTATAAAAATATTTCAGTAAGTTGGAAGCTCTGTATCTGAAAATGTTTCACATTTCTCCAAGAAAAAGAATCCTTTGAATCAAAAAGCTTGTGATTCCCTGGTAAATTGTAAATGAAATGAACTCTGAGAACTTTCTGAAAGGCTCCCATTCTCAGCAGACACAGACAAATCACATCAAGAATTCTGAATTCTCTCCGTCACAAGTTGCAATACAGTTATCTGTGACTTACTCAATCCTTGGGTGTGTTTGTGTTGAAGCCATACCTACTCTTTAAAACTATATTCTTTTTTAAAAAAAGTTTTCTTATGGAAAAATGTTCTCTTGGTGACCACTGTGAAGTCTACTGATGTGTTCTCTTGCTTTACAGGAATGTAAGTTCAGCCGGAGAGGAGGCCCGCAGAAGGATGCGGGAGTGTGAAGGACTGACGGATGCCTTGCTGTATGTGATTCAGTCGGCGCTGGGGAGCAGTGAGATCGATAGCAAGGTTTGTAGAATCTGCATCAATTGAACATTTTAGAGAATAAAGACAACCATGGCACTGAACAATGGCTAACAACCATGGAGAGCTATCTCAGGATTTCATGCTTTCATTCTGAGCTCTGTCATGACTCCAGGTCTAGACAGAGCTTTTCCTTGTATTCTCACAGCTAGCATTCTACTTTTGGACTAGTAATAATTAAAAATCCAGACTGTTGTAAGTTACCCAAACCATATGTGTTCCAGATGAGTGTGCAAACTTCACATCGGAGTACACAAAAGTTTCCAGCTTGATTTTTACTATCCACTTTCGAAAGAGGAAAATATTAAAATTACCTATATGAATGATCGTATATTCTTGTAAATTAGCTTTGTAATAAGTAATTGTATTGTGTCATGTTAAATGCCTGCAAAATCTTTAAAAAGAATGTCAAATGCTAAATCAATGAAGCTGTCAACATGTTAAACCATCAATATCTATGCACTGTTTTAGTTCACAAGCCCAAATGGAATTTGGTGGGCTTTTCCAGTGTTTGAGTTGTTTTGTTTTGTCTTAACTAAATTAGTTTCAATTCATACTAAATACAAATTTGTAATTTCATAATGTCTTGCTATCCACACAGACTTTACCAGTACTTGCAAAGTAATGCATATGATAAATGGGATACCTCAATTAATGCCACCATTAATGACATTGAGGCTGAGTAATTCTTGGTTGTGAGGCACTGAGCTGAGGATGTCAAGAAGCTCTGCCCACTAAGCAGTTCTGCCAAACAAAAATATCTCCAGACATGGCACGTGTCTTGTGGAGAGCAAAACTGGCTGTGACAGTGAACCACTGCCTTCACCCCATTGCCTTTGGTGCATCAATGAACACAGATCTGCCCAACCCCATTACAGTCCTGCAAACCCAAATGTCACACTATGGTCTCAAATCAGATGGTTCAATGTTCATCTTGGATTAAGAACCTGCTTGAGTAGATGGAGCTTTGAAATGGACTGATTGGGAATCTGGCATACTGTACTCCAGTTGTAAAGCCAGATAAGAAACAAGTAAGAGTGGATCTATCCACTTAGTTATTAACTGACTTTGTGGGTGCTTTTTAACTTTCACCAACATTACAGTTACTAAGAAATTTAGAAAAGTACTGATGTCTGAGCCTCAGTCCCCATTCAAATTTGGGCCCAAGGTATCTTCCGGGACTCCAGCTCTCTGAGTACCAATTCACTTCCTACACAAGCACTGCTTGTTGCCTCATCACTGCCGCTGGCTGGGTTTTCATCCACTCATTTGCCATGTGTTATTAATTTCAAAGACAGACTATACTGTAGTAAAGGCTTAAGCATTCCTCTTGTAAAAGCCCTTAATGACGATTTTAGACCTTTTAATATCATTGACAAGAAAATTAAGCCCCTAAAACAGTGATGAGTCAAGATGTTGTGTTTACAGAGGCCTGTTATCACAATAGACTCTTAAATCAATGGAGCAATAGTGTTGAGCATTTTAGTATTCACCACAGTGAGAAACTGAGGCACTGGGAGGCTGAGCCTCTTACCATGATGAACACAAAAGGCTACCTGGACCATGCAGGTGAAAATAAAAGTGAACAGACTTGTGCCTCAGGCAGGTTCCTCTGCCACTGTCTGTGGAGGTTAAGCAATCTTCAGGAGTGTGGTTTGAGAACCAGCATGCACCATGGCACAAACATCACATTCTAATTACTTAGATAATAACACTTTTAACACTCTTGGGAGAGCTTGGAGATCATCTATTTTAATATCCACGTTTTCCCCAAAATAGGGATTTGAAACAAATGGGAGTTTTCAGTGCTGGAGTTAGAAGACCCAGGAATCCGTGATGGGTTCCTACCAGCACTGAGGACAGGGCCAGTAGACTGTGCCTTCTCCACCCTAACCTGCTGGAAAGCCATACCAGTGACCCTTGTGACAGGGAGGATAATCATAGCCAAGGGCCAATGCTGTTGAAAGCATCAGATTTGATAAATTTCCCCATGGTACTTCACTGGGCAGCTTGTGCTATTGAGTTTTAATGTATTATTATTATTGTGCCATAATTTTCCACTCAGCCCTCCGCTTGGCCACTTCCAAGCTTTCACAATGACAAGTGAGAGGGGAACATGAGAACACATTCTCTTTGAGGCCAGAGAAGTTAATGAATAAAAGAGCCTGGATTCTATGTAAGCTTTCGCCTCTGCTCCTGTAATTGGGACAGTTTGTTGAATGGGTAACATATGGTAGAGCACTCCACAGACGACTTCCAAATTAGCCCTTTCTAATAGAATTTAAGGAGTCAAAATGACCCTGGTGACCAAGAGGAATTGCTAAAAGTGTTGTTGACAGCAATAGATGTCACAAGCAAAGCCACCAGCTGTCACATACCTTCTGCTGGTGTCCTGGGCTTTTTTTTTTTTTTTTCTCTTCTTTCCCCCCATTGCTTTAGAGAAAAGCTCTTGAACTTCTAACTTACCTAAATCAGGCCAGACTGCAACACTCCAGGAGGCTTAATGAGAGACATGAGTTCAATCCCTGGGGTCCCCTCTTCCCTCTCCACCCATCCTACTCCCTTTCTGTCTCTCCCTCCAGCTTCTCCCTAAATCATCTCCCCAATCACAGGTACATTATAAAGCATCTCTTGAAACTGCAAATTTAGTCTCAATAGTGGTCTGTTAAACAGAGGAACAGCAAAGCCTTCAGGGAAGATAAATAGCAGGATGAGAAAGAAGTTTATTCTCCAAAGTCTTTGATGTAAGAAGAATCAGTTTGAGCTGATTTAAAAATCGTTCTGACTTGTGCCATAACATTTTCCTTTCAATGAGAGATTTTTCTGTCTTTCATGCATCGTCCTGTGTTTACCTGCTTTCATGCCGGGTTCCTTTTTTGATGCTAAGAGGATGCTTGAAATAGAAAATCAAGTTGACACAAAGCCTTTGGGATTAGCAGCCCTGAAATCTTGAAGTGGACAAGAAAGATCTAGAGTGACAAAGACTCCAGAGATGTATCCTAAGAATTGGTTTTTCTGGTTGATTTTCACAACCTGTGTTCCTCTTCCATCCCTCCCTGCCCCCATCATCAGGTAAAGGGCACTGACTGCCTTTTACCACATCCCAACCAATGAGGGAAGCACGTCAGGATTTGAATCCATGGCCCCTGCCCATTCAGCCCTGAGCCTGGACGCAGGAGACGTGGCACCATCCACTCGAGTTACCAACAGCTGGGCTCTCTTCCCTTCCTCTGTAGAGTACTCACGTTACCTGTCTTCAGTGGGGCAGCTACGTGCTGGATATCTAAAAGAGAAAGACAAGGTGGTATGCTTTTTAAAACTTAGCTCAGTTTAATTATTTTCTCCTCATTAGTCCTTTTCAAAAAAAATGGGTATTTTATTTCCCTCTTCCTCTGATTCCTCAAGGCCAGAACAAAGGTGAAAAGATCAGCTGTGTCTGCAGAAGCTTTTCTGCAGAGGATCAAGGCTCTATGTTTTGCTGGTCGTGTGGTCTCTGTCACAATTCTCTATTCTGCCAGTGTAGCCTGACAGCATCTGTAGGTGACAATAAGCACACAGGCATGTTGGGGTCCAGTAAAATGTCCACAAGATACAAGCTGTGACTTGAAGACCTCAGTTACCAAGCCCTCTTCTCAAGGGTGGAAGTTATTACAACTGGTATTTACAGAATTCCACACTCCTCTTCAGGGAATAGCAGCAAATACTTCTTCCTTAGGCACTGTCTTAAGAGCCATGTCTATAAACTCACTTCACCTTCACCATAGCCCTGTGAAGCTGGTACTCTCATCATCACCCCCATTTTACAGGTGAGGAAATAAAGGCACACAGAGATTGAGCACACAGCTAACTCAATGGCAGACTGAGGACTCGAACCCAAGCCAAGCCAAATAGCTGTAGAACCCATGCTTGATATCTCTGGGCTGTGTGTCCCCCCAGCACTGTAAATGGTACTGTACAGCATTCACTGTGCCCTGGGTGCTCTTCTCAGTACTCACATGGTGCATTAGTACCCCGTTGCTGCTGGGACAAATAACCACAAACTTGGTAACTTTAAAAGAAACATACTTTTACTACCTTATAGTTCTAGAGATGAAGAGTCTGAAATGAGTCTCATTGGGCTAAAACTGAAGTGTCATCAGGGCTGGTTCCTTCCGGAAGCTCTAGGGAAGAAGTTATTTCCTTCTCTATTTCAGCTTCTAGAAGCTACCCACATCCTTTGGCTTGTGGCCCCTTCCTCCATCTTCCATCTTCAGAGCCGGTGATGATTGCTTAAGTCCTTCCTACATCATACCCACTGAGCCTGACTCTTAAGCATTCCTCTTCCTCTTACAGGATCCTTGTAATTACATGGGCTGCCTGGATAATCCAGATAATTTTCCTATCTGATGGTCAGCCAATCAACAACCTTAATTCCATCTGCAATCTTAATTCCCCCTACAACAGCACCTAACACATTCACAGGATCCAGCACTACGGATGTGAATACTTATCACACACAACACTGTGCTGACCCACTCAGCAACCTACTGTGAGGTCCTGGTATGGTCAGAGTACTGGGGATGGTGGATGCATTGTCCAAGGTCACACAACTCATCCTGAGAAATCTCGGATTTCTCTACAGAGCTCTACATGTGCCCTTAACACTTAACCTTTGCTAGAAAAATAGGAATGGTGTTCATCTAAAAAAAAAAAAATTCAGTATAATGAAAATATTTTTGCCTCCCAATGACCCCAAGCCCTCCCTTGCCCTGGTTTTCACCTTTGCTTCTTTTACACCCAGAAGTGGCCTGGTGGATGGTACCTGTTAGTGATCCCCACTAGCACTAAGCAAAATCCATTATCTGTGCTCTTCATGACTTAGACTCCTCAAGCCCCAGAAAGGAACTGTCTGTAAATGGATGCGTTTGGGATCTTTTGTGGTTGTGAATTCCTCCCCTCTCACAAGTGAATTTCCATCAACAGTGGCAGATGTTTACAGAAGTAACTGTTGGTGACGGGTAGTTTCTTTGCCAGAAGAAATAGTCTCAAGCCAAGTGTCTCTAAACTCTTCCCACTGAGGCTCTCAGGAGAGTCTTTAGAAGCAGGCTAAATCATGCAAAGAGAATGTGTATGTGGAGACCAGTTGCCTGTCTGGGGTGGTGGCATGGAGTGCTGGTTAGTTTTTATTCATGCCTCTTCTGTTTTCCATTTTCTTTTTTGGGGGGGTCCTCCAGACCGTTGAAAACTGTGTGTGCATCTTAAGAAACCTCTCATACCGGCTGGCAGCAGAAACGTCTCAGGGACAGCACATGGGCACCGATGAGCTGGACGGGCTGCTCTGCGGTGAGGCCAACGGCAAGGATGCTGAGAGCTCTGGCTGCTGGGGCAAGAAAAAGAAGAAGAAGAAATCCCAGGATCAGGTGATGCTGGACGCTCACAGCTGCATGCAGTTATCCCCTTCCCTTGCTATGGCTTTAATATTGTGCCTGTGTGCATAGATACAGGGCTCCACATTTCCAACGTGAGGTTAAACCACCACTGCACCTGCACAGTTTACCTGTGGGAATTTCATAGCTGAGACGATGGAACTCAGATAACTTCCCCCATGCTTTGCAACAGAGCCAAAATAAGAAGAGTGCTATCCATGCAGCTGGCATGCTCTGACATCCCAGCTCTTACAGTGCTGATTCTACTGGGACTGACTCACATGTGTGTTGAGGTCCTTGTAGGGGATGGGTGGGCTGCCACGCAGGTGGCAAGGTGCATAGAATAGGAAAAGGAGGTAAGAAGGGAAGCTGAAGAGGGAGGCACAAAACTCAGTCTGTGTTTCACAGCAGGGTTTGAAGCATTTGGCTATGCCAAATGTTTACCATTGCAAGTGGAAGTAACAGTTTGAGAATTCACTGCCCTTTAACGGGATGACTTTAGAGGTTTGATCATAAGAGACCACTTAAGTGAGTTCAGAACATTGTGCAGGCCTCCAACACAGAATGGTCTTCACCATGTGCAGCAGAGGCTGGTAAGCAGCCACCCCCAGCTGGGGTGTCAGAACAGTATCTGTCCTGCCCCTGGGACCTCTGGGGGTGAACTCCTCACCTCCAGTGACCCCAGGAAAGGGAGTGGTGGAAAGGAGCTTCCATCTGCTGTTGACCAGGAGCCCTGCCACCAGGGAGCCCCCATTTCCCCCACGCTGTCATCACATGTCCACCCCCCCGTGGACACTTTGATCATACATCCAAATGAGGAGGGTTGTGCCAATCGAGGACCTGACTGACTCTGGGAGTGGACTACTGAAAAAGAGGCGGAGGCCAGGCACTCGCTGGTGACTCACGCCTGCAATCCTGGCTACTTGGGAGGCTTCGATCAGGAGGGTCGCAGTTCAAAGCCAGCCTGGGCAAATAGTTCACAAGACCCCATCTCCAAAATAACTAGAGTAAAATGGACTAGAGGCATGGCTCACGCAGTAGAGCACCTGCTGTGCAAACACAAAGCCTTGAGTTCAAACTTCAGTCCCACCAAAAAAAGAGAAGAAGGAGAAAGAGGCATGGAATCTGAAACACTCACTGTCACCAGGTTTTGAATTCAAGATAAATATGCAAATACATCCATTTTAATCCCAGCAAACAGTATTTTCCAAACTACTTGATAATTTTACCTCGAGTAAAAGTTAAAGACACTATTTTATTTATAGGAAGGATTAATGTGGATGGAATGCCTTTTTGAAGATACGGTCTTGCTTTTTACCATGCTGGCCTGAACCATGGTCCTCCATTGCTGGGATGACAGGTGTGTACCACCACACCCAGCTTTTTTCCATTGAGATGGGGTCACCAACTTTTTTCTCCCTAGGCTGGCCTAGAACCACACTCCTCCCAATCTCAGCCTCTCAAGTAGCTTGGGATGACAGGTGTGAGCCAGCAGTACCTGGCTGGAATGCCTCCTGAAGTCTAATTCCTGGATTCCTTGAATGCATTTTCTTTAGGTTTTTGGTTCTCTGTTTGCAGCCCCTAAGAGCTTTGAGGTGTAGTCCACAATGTCTGTCTGGCTTACGCAGCCTTTACTTCAGGAGAGCCATGCTCTTTGCCTCTTTAATGGTGCCCTTCCTCCTCTGAGAACTTATCCCCAGCCCCACTTTTTCTCCTGTTATGGGTTGGAGCTCTGTGTCTCTCATTCTTGCCCTAAATGAGGAGCCTTTCAAGAATTAAGCTGTGATTCTTAAGAGGGCTGCTTAAAACCCTCCCACGTGAGGGGTACCAAGAACAGCCAGCAGGTGTTTAATGGACACCTAGTAGGTGCTGACATTATGTGAGCTGCTGCCTGGTCCTGCAGTTTTACACCTGGTACATAAAGGAGCCAGACCATTACAGTTCTGAACTGCCTCACTTTCAAATCAACTAGGGCATGAGCTACCGAAGGTGTAATGGGCTCCTTTTATCATTTCCTTTGCTGTGCTGTTACCACGGGGCCCCATCCCACCCTACTTTCTCTGGAAATGTGTGCCAAAGAAGGAAAATGCACAAGAAGGCATTCCTGCCATCTTTACAGGAATGTGGTGCCACCCAAGCTGCCCAGGATGAGAAGTGCTGGGTCTCACCTGATACCTTCCATCTGAAGGACTGCATCTCCTGGATGAACCCAGGCAACTCGGAAAGACACATTTGAGGACTTACTTAGTGTCAACCTTGGCTGAGGAAGCTTTCCACAGACGTTGCATTCACTCCAGTTTCAGGCTTTTATCTCCAGTGTATGAGCTGTTACAACCCTGTCTGACCCCTGTACCTGTCACTGGTGCCCCACTTGGTAAGATTCTGACCCTAACTTCAAACCCTTCCTCAACTGCCGAAATGTCCTTACATGACTGCAGTTTTTCAAGTGACAGGAGATTAGCAGTTGATTGGGTTCAGAGAAAGAAAGGGAAGGAACATTTGTGGACCTCACCCCATAACACAGACCTTGTCTCCAGGTATTAGCACATTCACGAAACTCTCAATGAGCAATTTCTCAGGCTTAGAATGCTGACCTTGGAATCATATTTTGTGGTGTTGACATGCTCTTTTCTAAGCTGAGTATGATAAAATCATTACTAGAATTTTATGATTTTTGCCAAAAGTCAAAATAAAAGTGTATTTGGTCCACTGGTCCCATTTTTACTTATAGTTTTCTTTTAGGGAAAAAACATTTCTTTAAAAAAGTTTTGCTGAGCAATGCATGGTGGTACAGGCCTGTAATTCCAGCTACCCCAAAGGCAACTCCAGGAGGATTGAGGTTTGAGGCCAGCCCAGGCAAAGTTAGCAGAGACCCTATCTGAAAAACAAACTAAAAGCAAAAGGATGGGGGCGTGGCTAAGTGCCAGAGCGCTTGCCTACCAGGTGTGAGACTGAGTTTAATCCCCAGTACAGAAAAACAAAAACCAGTGCAGTGGAATATTGTTCTTCATAAAGAAGCTTCAAAGTTTTTATTTCAATCAAATTATAGTTTTAAAAGGCTTTTTAGCATGCTCTAAATTAAGATAAAACTATTTTGAAGTTCCAGAAAATTCAATACCAACCTTAATGAGGATGTGAACAGATAACAATTATGCTTGTTTGAGAAATCATTTAATGTGATTTGTCAAGTTCAATATATTATAAAACAGTCAAAAGTAAAAGCTATTATGCATTTAAAGACTGGTGCAAAGGAGGCAACGCCTGGGGATATCTTCGAGATGGAGAGGGGAGCAAAACCAGAACACAGGACTGAGTGAAGGAGAGGACTAGGAGCCCTCCAACACAGGGGGGGCCTTCCTACTGGATGAAGGGAGCTGAGCCTCAGTGGTGCCACCTGCTGGGAAGGTTGGTATTTAGGCCAGCCTGTGGTCTCCACAAGGAATAAGCAGTGGTTTCCCCCACACATCTTCTATAATACTTTGTACTTGTGCAGTGCAGGTCACCATTCCAATACACAGTCAAGGACTCTAAGGAGCTAGAGGCTGGCTACTCCCAGTGACAGGAGGGGGCAAGCCCTTGATTTATCACTGTTAACAGGTTGCAGCACAATGAGCAGTTGAAACATTCCAAGTCTTCTAGGACAGAGCATCCTAAGCTTTGCTGACACGGGAACAGCAGGTCATCCTCTGGCCTGGAAACTGGAAACTCACCTAGAAGTTTGCCAAGTTCTAGGTCCACTGCTTTAAAGATGGCTAGATAACAGCTGACCCCTGGAACTTCTACTGCTGGCCAAGTCAGGAGTTTTGTTTTTGGCTGCAGTGCTGAAGATCAAGCCCAGGGCCCAGTGTGTTAGGCAAGTGCTCTAACCACTGTGATACACCCTCAGCCTCCTCAAAGCCAGAAACATTAAAGAATATTTAGCGATTATAGAAAATATAATACAAATTTAAGAAGCTAATATAAAAACATTCGTATTTTATGGATATAGAAATACAAATGATGTAAATATAAATAAAACCTGACCAATTTTGTAATATATGTGTCATTTGCAAATAAAAACCATGCTTGTATGAAAGGTGTTTCTAGAAAAAATGCAGAGGAGGTAATAATTGATTTTTTTCTACTTATATATTTACAGTATTCTACAGTGGTCATTGAATTTGTTACTGCTTCAAAATGTGATTTAAAATAGTGCTCAGAAGGCACTAGGTGACTCAGTGAATGCATGCTTATAAAAATTTATACTTTCTTCTCTTAAACTTAAGATCCCTCAGAGAAAGGCAGAAGGACAATGTGAAACTAAAAGGTTATGTATACACAGACCTCCTGTGGCAGAGGAGCCAGATGATGTAACAGGAAGCAAAGTGATGATGTCATCACTGGTTTAACGATGGTCCTGGAGCTTGCTCTGTTCCAAAAATTTGTCCTGACTCCTACACTTGGCATTGGTATTCTGAATCTTAGAAAAATGCTATTCCATTCTGCAGGTCAGAGTTAGTTCTAATAAAAATGTCAGAAATGTTTTCTTTTAAATCCTTGATAGGGATAATTCAAAAAAATATGTCATAAAAGGTATGTTACATTTCCGCTTTTATTTCAAGAAATAGTTGCTATTGAAACATGTTATAACTGTCTTCCAAGCCCCGACTATTGCTGTATTTGACAACTGTATGCACTGCATTCTGGTCTAAAAGGAGTCTGCACCTCATTCATTTCTGTCTCTGTGTTTACTGCCTCTTGCTGAATTATGATTAGCTGTTAGTTCCTCTTGGCCTTTTGGAGGCAACACTTCACCTAAGTCAGCTGCATGTCTTATGCCAAGGAGGCACCTCACCTGGCAGAATCCTCCTCACCTCCAGTAGGCTTTATGCCTTAGTCTATCATCTCAGGGCAGGGTGTGACCCTATACTGGAGTATATCAGTTATTTACATTGTATTACATATTATACGTAATCTAGACATGATTTAAAGTGAATTAGGAGCTGTACATAGGT